CTTTTGCATAACGCATAACGCATAGTGCATAAGTGAATCAACTAATCAGAATCTTTCCTTTCCTCTCATTCTATGGAAAAGAAGAATTTTGATTGGTTGATTCCTTTATGCACTATACATTATGCGTTATGCAAGAGCGTGTGCTGCGGCCATAATAGGCCTTCTACAATAACCCGCAAGTCAAAACATCAGAGATCTTAAGCGGGGAGCACAGACTCTTGCATAACGCATAACACGTAATGCATAAGAATATGTATCAATCGAAAAGTTCTCCGTTTCTTTCCCTTCCATGTAATAGAGAACTCTGGTTGGTTCAATTTCTTATGCCTCGTGTGTTATGCGTTATGCAATAGTCTGTGCTCCCCGCTTTAATCAGTCTTAACCAAGTAGTTCAAGTTGGCTATTGGCCAACTTCACCGGACACCGATTATGACTCACGATCGCTTAGAACTTCTCTGACTTGCGGCTTATTGTAGAAGGGCTATAACAGCTAAATCCCGGGCATGGCGATGACCGCTCTCAGGCTCTTCTCTCTGCTAACACATTTGATTGCATTTGGTCGCAATAACACAAAGATTATTTCTTAATAGCCTTGGCTTACAATAATTTATAATTAATTTACAATGAGAAATAATTTACAAAGTTTTCTATACAACTAGATAATATGACATACATGTGGACATATACATTAAACAGGTGTTTACATTACATACAAAGATTAAAATAATTTTCATTTAAGAAAATGAAAAATATACATGATACATTTAAATTCATCCAACTATATAATTTTTTCATACAAGATGATCAACTGTCTTTTGATTACGACGAATTATAGTTCGACCATTTTTCTGTGAACTCTAATACTTTTATTCTTTGTTCCTCAAAACTTTGTCTTTTTGGTTTCCGCCAAAAGTTATGATCCAAATCCAACATTCCTCCTATTATTTCCTAAAAGATAAAAAAAGTTACATGTAAACACACACGCGCGCGCTACACGTATCATCATACATACATCAATTTATATTGAAAACTAAAGTTTTTTCAAGTGAATAATTTCACCTTGGCAAAATTTTGTGGAAACATTTCTTCGTCCTCGATCACATGAGCATAGCCAGGATGTGAAGCAAATTCGACCATAAAGTAAGATAAACCATTTGGTATGGCATGACGTATACCTTTACGTGTTAAATCAATAATTTTTTTGTTCATGGACCATTCAGTTTCACACTCCAACAAAGCTTTCTGTGAAACGGAAAAAAAAAAACGTTAAAATAATATAAGTTGATTTAAAATACAGCAATATCTTGTATTGTAACAAAATGATTTATTCACCTTAAAATATATCGGTGACAACTCGCCAATTTTTTTCGGCAACGGAATACACTCTAATTGCATATGTGAAAATTTATTACGTATTTTGTACACTTCAAAAAATATCGGATAAAAATCTTCATCCGTAAACATTTTTGTTAATTTTCTTTTGAATTCCTGTAAAAAGAAATGCATCATGCAATTTCATGTTGTCACGTTAAAGATCAATAGATGGATAGATTGGATATTAAATACACAAGTAAGAATTACCATTAATCTATCCCATACATCTTCATCTAATTGCAATTGACACGCTACATGCTGTATAGGGGTTAATATACAATGACCAGTACTCAAGGAAGTACAAGCAGGCAAGCTTAAGCAAATTACAGAGTCCATTGTAACGATCATATGCTTTAACATATTTTTCGAATCAAGGCACCACCAACAATTATCCATACATTTAGATAAATTCTTATGTTCTTTAATTGCCTGTGCACGATTCCACTTGTCTTGTCTCGCTTCCGAATCTGTTCGTGCAATTTGTTGCTCAAATGTATCATCCATATGATCAATATTCTGCAATAGAAGATGTTATTTTCAATTTCCACATTCGTATCATTTTCAATTCACTCGATTAATTTACCTTGGAAGCGAGTTTAGCAAAGACTGCTTCATCTTCAACCGTGGATCTTCCTTTCTCTCGTTGAAACTGCAATAGAAATTTATGTTATGTTGCGTTAAAATTTTTCGAGATTCCAATTGTTTGGACAATTTACCATTTCTTGTAGAGAATATTTATCATCGTCTGCGAAATGGCGTACTCTCTCACCGGAGATATGTGTCTCGACAGTTTTCTTATTTCTGTAATTTTCCCATTGATTTTTTGGTTGTATCGGCCTTGCAGTACCTAATACATACATTTTTATGTAATTTCAATGTGGATAATTATTTATTTTTATTTATTTAAAACGAAAGATATGTACCTTTTGCATCGGTTCTTGTGAGAATTACATTCTCCTCTTGTACACTGGTATTACATGATGTTACATAATGTTTTCTGGCATGTTCCAACTGGATTTTTAGTTGTGCTGCTAATTCCTAAATAAATAAATTATTCCAAGTAGATTTAAGATGTAAATAAGTTAAAAATAAACAACATTTAATAGAACAGCAAGCATACATCATCACCCGTTAATTCAGCTTTTATAATACTTGCTCCTAATTTATTCATTTCCGCTTCGGTCAAAACACCAACGCCTTTATCTCTATCTATTTCATTCGTACTATTAATATTTCGTAAATCAACTTGTTTTGGCTCGGACACAGGTAATTCAGTAATTGGATATCTCTCTTCAGCACTCTTATCTTTTTTCCAATTTTTTATACGACTACTGTTGGCAGGCATAGTCTGTTGATAATAATTGTCGTTGTCTTTAGGTTTGCGATAAGTTTGCTTCAATTCTGCGTGATGTTGCGACGAGTAGTCAGGTGTATTATATTTTCCAGCACGATCCTTACTTCTAGATCTTGATTTAGATCTCAAACGCTTTCTTACCCTCGGACTGGAAATTCTATGAGAGTTTCTACCATTTTTATCATTGTAACATCTTTTATGATACGATTTATTCTGTTGAGTATTGGACATTCTTTCCGCTTCAACTATCATTGTTTGTATAGTTTCTAGGGACTAAAAAAATAGTTTTATTTATGTCATTAATGACTAATCTAGTATTTTGTGTGTGTGTGTATATATATATATATATATATATATGAATCGCTCTTTTAATTAACTTACACCCCAACGTTCGGCAGCTACTTCCTCTAAACATTTACCGTCACGTAAAGCTTGTTCCTCGGCACGTCGAAGACTCTTTTTTAGCCAATTTACATCCAAAATCTTTGGATTATCAGATCTACCTGGATTATTTTGAGGTAATCCATCGCCTCCAGCTTTCCAATATGGATTCAATTCTCTGTTACTCTGTCCCGGTTTATTTAGAAAAATCT